ACTCTATCCCAGCTGAAACCAGGACACAGGGTTGACCCCAAGCATAAGATCTCTTAACAGGAAAGCATGAAAGGATCCGAAACTGGGCACTCACCTGCTCAGGGAAGAAGTAAGTTCAGTCACAGAAGGGACTGAACACACATCTCTCACCTCCTGAAAAATCTCGTGCATCTATGGGCTAACAAGCGTAAAGGTTTCCACTTGACAAACCAATTTCTCCTCTTTGCCCAAAATCCTTTCCAAATTTTCAGCTGAAACTATTCAACTAACCTGATTCAAATTTGCTAAGTGCTTTGAATCAAACAAAACCATCCTTTTCATTAACAGTTTACACTGGAAACATACCATTCAGTTCTACCTTGTAGTTTCTGGCTCCCAGGCCTGTCTTCTTATAGTATATCTCCACAAAATTTGGTGGCAAGTTACCTCCAGAACATTCTCTAAAATAATACTCTTCAGTTCAGGGCAGGAAGGTGCATTGAGCTAAATAACAGCTTTCTCCCTCTCGCAACGTTCCTTCAACTTTCAACTCATAGCACAAATGTACTCAAATTACTACTCAATTATCTGATTATGGATTAATCCTTTCACCCGATTCTAGCCCTTTCTAATTCTCACAAGGTATTTATTTAATCTGTATAGAATTTCTAGCTGATAGCCTGTGACTGGTGAGAGAAATAAGGAGTAGCTTTACAGAGGAAGAGAGTTGTTCCAGTCTAACATGTCTCAGCATGCATCAGAAATAATATTATGTTCTGCAAAAGCACAGAAGGGAAGCAAGGAGAATGAACAATGGAAAAATGGTATTTCGGATTTCCAAGGCATCTGTTATTGTTAAGGATAATGGTATAACAATAATAGTTTGTATTCTGAAGCACTAGAAGAGCTAACATTAATATAAGGATTTCTGATTTTGAAATATTTCAAGAAGTTGATAAATTTACAGCATTATGGGGATTCAGCCACTGCCATACTAAGAGATGATGCTGTTCTATACACTGCACAACACTGAAGATAGCAGAATTTTTACCTAAAAAGAAAACAAACAAGGAAAACCAGTCTTCTTATTTGAAAGCTAAAGCATCTTCAAAATCAGTGCAAACTAGACCAATGTTTTCACATCATCAAAGGACTCATCTGCAAAGCTAAACCTTGACAAGTTGCTTGATAAACAGATTATTCACCATAGCATAAAAAAAGGCCAATTATACCACAGCGCTATTTATGAAGATGGCTCCAGATAACAGTTATTCCATCACTTGTCAAGTAATAAAACCAAGTGGCAAAAGGATTCAGAAATAGCTACAGGATTGTCTGCTAAAGTTTGAAATGGTTTAACAAAGAGGCTGCCCAGAAAGGTTGTGGAGTCTCCTTCTCTGGAGATATTCAAAACCCGCCTGGGCAGGATCCTGTGCATCTTGCTGTAGGTGACCCTGCTTTGGCAGGGAGGTTGAACTGGGTGATCTCCAGAGGGCCCTGCCAACCCCCACCAGTCCGTGATTCTGTGAACAAATGTGAGCATCAGGAAAATACGAATAAAATCTATTACAGTCAAAATGATCAATTGGCTTCATGAAAAAGATACAGGCTGGGTCATCCATGTCTGGCTCTGGAGTGTCAAAGAACGGATGTGTGCTCAGCAGCTCTGGGACTAACGGAAGCACCAAAGTGGGATGCCTGCTTCCCAAGAACTTCAAGCATCTGAAAATACAGATTGAAATATTTCTTATTAAACACGTACATTGCAAAAGACAACATTTTAAAGCATTATTACTTCATTTTGCAGTGGCACTTCGAGACGTCAGTCAGCATCAAAATCCTACCGTCCAAGCGTACTGTCTCTTCACGGCTGAGTATTTGCATTTGATAGGATCCAAGAAAACTGAGAGGTCAGCTTGACAAAGCAAGCAGTAATAAAAATAATTTATTTAAACTGTCCAAGAAATACTTAACACCTGGAGCTATACATCCCAAGAAAAGCTTTCATACTAAATGCTAACCAATGAGTGTATTTTTTTTCTTCGAAAATAAAGGAGTGAGGAGGTAAAAATCCAACCAATTAACAAAACTTCACCAAACTCCAAAAACAATGTCAGAGTACACTCGAAGACAAAGCAGACTAAAATAAGTGTTTCCAGTAATACCCAAGAATTCTATCTCAAACCATGAGTGCTGGAGCATCACTTCCTTCGTTGCTTCCATTAAACAACCAAAAAAAACCCCAGACAAACGTTCATTATTTTTGCTCAGACAGAAAAAGTCCCTCCAACAGCACAAAGCCACATAGCCAATCCACTTGTCACAACAGATGTAATCAACTGCTGGTAAATATTACAATTTAATGTAGTTGCATAGAAGAGATGAGGTTTTAAATTGAAGGCTGAATTCATCTTTTCTGGGAATGCCTTGAGTGCTTGTAATAAAAGGCTGTTTCCAGGAGTGATCGTCAGTTCTGGACTCCCAGTACAAGTACCAAGAAGCAAGAACCGCACAGTTTCCACATCAGTCATGAATATGTACAATGCTTGGTATAGCCACTATTCCAAATATTTATAGAATAACAGGACTGTACACCTCCAGTACCTGTTACCTCCTTAGCTAGCTCAATATTTGCCTAATGCCTCAACTACTAAAAAGAATAGGAAAACAAGTAGACACACAAGCACACCAAACACACTCACTTCCATATGGATTCTCTGTCTGTGGGATACTTAGTCAGGTTTTTCAGCAGCTCCACCAGTGCAAGATGGATGCCTTCTTTAGTCGAGACATTGGTGCAACACAGTAGTTCATGAAGCGCTTCCCGAATGTCCCTTGAAGAATCCTAATTAAAAAAAAATCCACAAACCCCAACCCAAGACACCTGTAAGTGCTGAGACAGATATGCCTGTATCTTCTCAGGCTCCTTGCTATAGCAAGGAACAGGTAGCAGTTCCTGCTCCTTGGCTGAATTAGTACTTGAGGCATCTGGAAAACAGCACAGGTTTCTAGTTATCTTAGCTAAGCACAGATGAAGTGACAGACCGGTAACTGCAGCAGGGTCTCCTGCTGGTCTCATCCACCCATGTGCTTAATTTACTGGAATGAATGGGAACTGCTTCACTGCTGACCTTCTCCAGCAGAGCAAGAATTACCATTTGGTTTGGGTGATGTTGTGCCCTTAGGCACAGGCTGTAACAGAACAGGAAGGTGCTGGGTAACTCAGCAAAACAATCACCAAAGACTGTTTTGTTGTCTTTGGAAAAGCCTTTTATCATTCAACACATGAAGCTCAATTCTACAAGCCTTTAACCCAGTCACCAGCCTCCAGAGGGTTTGCGTAAGCGTTGAGGACATGTCAATGGCTGGACAGACTAGATTAACAATGATCATCTATAGGATAAAGGAACTTGACCTAACCACGGGTTTACAGATAGGCAATAAAAAAATAAAACACACAAGTTCGGTCAGGAACTCCGTTATGATCATATGGGATCACTAGTGTACCACTTTTAAAGTCACATTGCACCCATTTTATTTTTTAGACCAGGGTTACGTTGTAGAGAGGAGCTCATGCAATCTCCAAGCAGTATTCTTAGAAGTGCTGTGGCTGAACTCCAGCTTAATTAATTTACATTCCTTCTGCCAAAAACCACCTTGCTGTTCCATATCAATGTATTACACTTCCTTGCTATCAGCATTTGTGTGGCACTGCTGGATAAAATGTAAAAATTTGATAGGATACAAGAACTGGATGCATTTCAATGGTGGATTTTTTTTTTTAAATTATAATTTGCTAAGTATCAACAGCTCATTCATCACTGTCTTACACAGAAGAAGAAAGAGCAGTCCTCTTGTAAAGGCTCTTAAATGATGGCCAATGCACACAAACGATCAAAAGAGGAAAGCACAGTCGGGCTGTTCAGACGTTCCTTATTTTGGTGGTGGAAGGCAGACTATGACCAAAAGAGAATATGTACTCTAAGGACAGGAATGAAATGACTACAGACATAAAATACTCCAGGAGAGTTGCACAGACCACTGGAAGGGCAGTAGAGACAAGCAAGGCAGAAGACTCCGAAGGGACAGAGAGGAGCACAACCCAAGAGAAACCAAGATCAAGGACAACACGTAAAGCAGAATCCAAAGCTTGGTCAGAAAAGCAAGGAGTAGCTGGCAGAGGTTATTCAGATAAAGTCAAAGCAGTGGGGTGAAAACAGAAGTTACCCCGGCACCCAACTGTTCCATATTTACACTCTCAGAACAAATTTAGGCACTAAAGTTAATGCCATTTTTCTATATCCTTTATTTTGGTACTGGAAGATGGATTTTACAGAAAGCAAGCAAGCACCTTTCAGAATCAGCCAAATCCATTAAAATGTTAATAATTCTCACACTTTAGCTATCCCAATACCTGATAATAATTATGGTAATATAAACCATAATACATGTATGATTTAGCATACGTGATGAGTCAGCACAGAAGCGTAAGACAGAACCCCAGCCTAACTAGGATGTTTTTATAACTTGATGCACAGGTCCCCAGCTTGAACAAAATCAACTACATAAAAATGTGAGGCACCTAAAACTCATTGGTGCACTTGCAAATTCAGATCATATGCCATAGCATTTGTTACAGACTGATAAAACAGGTTAGTTAGTTTGCTTCTTCCTGGGTCGCAACTGAAAGAAGTCACTGTTGCCCTGGGTCAAGCGAACCGCAGATGAAAAGACAGAAATAGCAGATTTGCGGCACCACCCACGGCAGGGAAACTACCTAAAAGCAGCAGAAACTTGCCTACCACACGCAGCAGAATCAAAAAAAAAAAAGCCCCACACCTCAGGGGCTATAGCTTAGCAAATAAATCAGGTCTGAGGGGAAGCAGTTTGGCACAGCACTGCTCATACAGCCAAAAGCTCTTCCCCTTCCCGAATCAACCCTATCAACCAGGAACAGCAGCTGAGCCATGCTGGCCCCTAGATCCTGGTTGAGCACTGACTGGGAAGATGCAGGTTGGGAAAACCTAAAATTATACTGCAGAGCATGCTAACAAACTCTCTGAACAGTCAGAAGAGAGATCTCAGGCCCGTGCCCTGGCTCTGCTTGGTAAGCAAAGGTATAGCCAAAGCAGCTGAACAAAAGAAAGAAAATGAAGTTGTATTCAACATTAAGTGGTGCAGAGTGCTGGGCCACGAAATGTGATAGAAGGAAACACATAGGAGTCGACAGCAGTGATCAAGGGAAGAGTTTTTATCTGAAATTCATCTATTTCAAAAGTATTCTGTTGTCTTGGAGCTTACAAGCTACTAGATTTGGAGCCTTTGGGTGTGTTCAAAAGAGAGAAAAAAAACCCAAACAACAACTAAGAGGAAGGGGCTGATTAGCATTATATAATTAAGCACTCCAAAGAAAGCAGGA